CAGTTCCCCTGTGAATCTAAAACGTTCCTGCATCGTCGCAGAATCAACTTTATACTTAGCTAATAAGAACAGATCTAAGCCATTTTGAACTAAGCTTCCATTTTGAATTCACCGAATATTGTTATAATGAATATAGACATATTAATGCTTTATGAAATTATAATAATTCTAATACAATTTATTATGCGTAATGCAACTTAAAAGTAAAATATCAGAAAAAAGTAATAATATTTGAAATTATAACGAATGAATATTATAACTGTAATGAGTGACTGAATGTAAACAGCAAAATATGTTACAATGAGATTAGTTTAAAATCAGAGGATTATTTTTATCTTTCAATAATTGTTCATTTTCCCTTTTCATACAAAAAGTTGAAGGCTACCATTTTTAAAAATGAATGAAGTATTTTTATGCAATTTTATTATTATTATTTTTATTATTGAATGCTTTATTGCAGTTTTCAAAGGCCAGTTACCTGAGTAAGGAACGAAGGTCCATCCTTTCATGCAACTGCTCGAGCATATTAGAAGTGATGGCATATAAATGCCATATGTAAGACTGATTACATTCAACTCAGTTAAATTTCACTTTGAAAATTTTGATTTCAAATCCGTCTGTCTTGGCAAAGTAACAACTTTATTTTGTGCTCATAGTTCCAAGAACACGGTGATAGCTAAAATAAACAGCATAAAGTTCGGTATCCGCACTCGTCGGTATCCAGAATCGCATTCAGCGTTTCTGGATTTGAGATTTTTCCAGCTATTAGATCATTAGTTTGAATCAAGTAAGACAACATGTAGAAATTATGAAATAGTGATTTATATGTAGTGCCATTAGGTTAACTCGAAGCAGGAGAGATGAAAAATGAGCAATGCCCTCCCCGGGACTCGAACCACGGGCCTCTCGAATACGCACCGATTGTGCTGACTACATATGAAATAATTAAACATTAAAAAGAATTTACACACACACGCACAAAATATAAAGAAAAAAAAAAAAAAAACAGAAGGAGAGGGGGGGAGAAAAAAAATAAGGAAGAAAGGAAAAGAGAGGAAAAAAAAAGCTCAATATTTGTTATTTGTTCGTTTAACTTTATTAAACATTTCTTTCGATGTAAGTTGTTTAATTCGGTTCGCTTTTTTGCTAATATTTTCTCTTTAATTCTATATATAGAGATAGAGATAGATTCTATAGATATATTTCTTCTTCTATTACAAAGTTATGTTGTTCAAGGCACTCTAATTGCTGCGTCGATAATTCCCACTAAAATGCCAATCGAAATTTCTTCATTCTCTACAACCTCTGTCACTATATTTACTATCGGTAGCGATATTTTCTGGTTTTATAGCCACACTAGAGATTTCGCTGTCCGTTAGTTGATTGACGAGTGGGGCATTATCATCGCAATGGGCAGTCTTCTATTATAGCATCTTCATTTATTACCACATCTCTACAAATCCTAGTAATAGCAATATTTCTCTTTTTGTTTGCGATATCTGAAAATCGTCGAATTTGCGGCTGTCGTCATAAAGCTTATCTTGCGACCACTGTGCGCTGTATACAATGTATCACGAGATTCCGACTAACAATATGTTTCGCTAAATTTTGTCTTGCTTCTAACATACGCTGACGGAGGTTAAGCGTGGTTTATATTAGTTTAGTTATTCATTAAACTTACGACTACTTCCTGTATATGCTTAAGGCTTATCGGAGTCCCGAATAAATTTAATGCTCATGTATCTCAGGCTTACCCAGGCCGTAACTAGACGTTTTACAGCCCGCTTTTGTCTCTGCAGGTCCGAAATTCTGCTGCCGAGCGCGTTCATAAATTCTAAAAAGTATTGCCTCCTCTAAATTTCGCGTCCATGTGCCTTCCCTAAATTCTAAAAATTTTTCCATCCCTAAATACTACTCCCCGGTGCGGCCGCACAAGTTCTGACATCACTCTTGGACTTAACCGATAATAAATCATTTATTCTCATTTGAGATAGCACTAAATGCAATTTTTTTTTACCTCTGAGAATCCTTTACAAATCTACTTTTGGCATATGAAAAGAAATTTCTGTAGAATTTCTTATTGTCAACACACTCAAAACTTCGCAGCGTAGTTAGCTGGAGTGTGTAATCATCGCCAAGCGTAATGTGAGCATAAAAGGTTACCATGCTGACCTGAAGAGTCGGTATTACTTCATTATCTTTTCAATTGTAAGTAATTTTCTATCTATGCCTTTAATTATATTTAAAAAAAATTGTTACAATTTTATACATATCCATTAGTATTGGCCATTGCTAGTACAGCAATTTTTCCATACCGATTTAACTTGTATTATTTAATACTTGTAAAATTTTTTCTAAACTTTTAAAATTTTTTTAAAACAAATATTACTTAAAAAATCACGAATTTGTAAATTGGAATTTGTTTAGACTTCAAATTGTAATTCTTTTACTTTCTTAACTTCTTAATTAATATGAATATAGAATTTTAATTGGAGTATTCCCCTTTTAATTATTATTATGTAGGCGCAGGATTCTTAATAATCTTTCCTTACATTTGATTATTTGTTAATACATATATCTGTGTGTATTTAAACATATATATATTATTCTATAAATCTAATAAAAATTAATTAATTAATTAAAAAACCACTTCCTTCGTAGTATAATTATTAATAAACTGATATATATATAAATGTGTGTGTGTGTGTGTGTGTGTGTACAAGTTAGCATATATAACAATAAACTGTCTTTTTATTACTCATCGGTAATTCTTAAAAAAAAAAAAAAGAAAGAAAGAAAAAGAAAAAGAAAGAAACATTTAAAAACACGAAAATTCGTTTTCTTTCAATCTTTCAAAACTGTTTTGCATATTATAAAAATGAAGAACAAAATCTTTCTGGAGTCTTAAAATATAATCTTAAATCAGATTGCTGTTTTTGTATTTTAACTTTGTTTTGAAAAGAAAAAAAAGGGGGCCCAGATAACCATTATCTAGTATATCAGGAATCATTTCTCTTTTGTTGCATCATGAGCAGGTGAAACCGCTTCCGTGATAAGTGTTTGTTAAGTTGAATAGCACGTCGCTGAGTTAACTGTCAGGTTGATTTCACACCGTAAAACGAAATCCTCTTCCTGATAAATAAAACATTTCTTCTTCAAACTTTCGAGCCAGAAGTACTTGAAAGTTTGCTCTTCTGTGTTTAATTTTTCTTGAATTCGCGTTTATTGTCGGTTTTACTGCCGGATCATGTACGCTCAGCATGATAAAGCAAAATGAAAAAGTCGTTAAACGATTACTTTGTAAATATAAAATTAAAATTCAATATAAAATATATAAAAAAATCTGAAATGTTTCAGATTTTAAATTACGTCCAAAGAGCATTTATTTAACATTTTGTGTGTTACATTTATTTATTAAATATCACGTTCTTCTCACTTAAACCATACAATTCAACAGCAATATCGCAAAATAATTTTAAAATGAGCAGATAAAAATGTTTTTTCTGCGCTGCAGATAAAAATGTTTTTTCTGTACAACGTTGCCATGGCTCACTTTGAAATCCTTGAGTTTGTTAATCAAAAATTCGTTAAAGTTTTACATAATATGAAATCGATAAATTTCAAATTTGGTCTTCCACATGCCCATATTCGTAGGAGGATTACGTCATTCAAAATTCGATGGCTCTATGTACCGTCGTTTTATCATAATGCGAGAGATGTACATATATTTATGCAAATTTTTCATTATTTAATTTTTTTAATATAACACAGGGCAATTATACTTTGTGGCAACAGTTTGAATTTGTAGTGAATCGACGCAAAATAGCAAAACGAAAACAATAGTCCTTCAGGGACAAATCCGTTTGAACTAAAAACAAAGAAATATTTCTTTTAATAATATAAATAGCTGTTTATGTACGCATACCTAGAAATTTTGTGGTTTCAGAGCCTCTTCAGGACAATAAAGCAAATGACAATAAACCGAATGACGTAATGTTTGAACGTTAGGAACATCCTTAGTGCAATCTTTCAAAAATGTTGGACAGCTATCTTACGTTATACTACCATTCATTTATCATCAACATTCTCTGGTAAATATTATCATCGGTAAATGATACCATCTGTGGTAAATATAATCAGCAGAAATATTATCAACATCTCTGGTAAATATTATCTCTGGTAAATATTGTCTCTGGTAAATATTATTATCGGGAAAATAGGATTGAAGGTCTTTGTCTTCCCAGCAGCATCGCTTGTAGTCAGTTCTCAGAGTTTTGCCAGTCAGCAAAGCATAAGATCTTTAACTTGCCCTATAAATTTTAATGATCATTAATTGCCTACTTAATTGAGCATTTAAAGGCAATGAACTCACTTTTTAATGTAATTGATACAATTTAAAATATATTCAATTTATAATACTGTACCTAACTGATAATTTTTTCGAAAACCTCCCTTTTTATACTTTTTTATACTTAAAAGGTATTTCTAACGGCATACGTTTCATTTCTTGATACCCATTTAAAAAGCAATAAGTATGTTTCGAGACGTATTTAAAAGCAGTAAGTTGTTCTTTATTATGCATTGTTTACCAGCTAGGCCAACACTTTCAATTCCTTTCAAGGACATTTCCTTTGCATTCAAATCTCAGTTCAGTGTTTGTCAGCCTGTCTAAGAGTTTGGCACGTCTTTCTGGCAGAAATTAATCCTTTCTCATTCTTAATTAAAATCGAAGAAATCAGATAACTTTCACGACACCTGCTACAATTATGATCTATGAGAGAGACAAGAATTATATGTATGAAACTGTGTGTTTTCTAAAACGACTTGCCGAAATGTTCGCAAAAAGAAGTCCTTTAAATTTATATGTGAAAAGTAAAACAAAAAATATTACCTTAGCAAATAAAAAATGAAAAAAAAAAAAAAAAAAAAAACTGTACGTTTGAATAATTAATTGGGTTTCGTTTCTATTCAAAAGATGATTTGAAAATCGGTTTATTTACATTCAGAAACGATGTCAGACCAAGTTAATAGCAGATCATCCAATCGCGTTAAAAAAAATCGCTGATAAAAAATGTTCCTCTTTTTTCTTTTTTTCAGGCATGTAATGGGTAATTTCTTAATATATTGATATGCCTGAGATGAACGGCTCAGAAAATAGCAGTGATCGAATACCATCATTTGGAGTGTATACGAGATGTCAATGCCCCAAATCATAAATAGTGCAATAAAAATATTTCTACCGTTTCGAACTTCATACTTCAAACAGCCAGCGATTTCTGCTATAAAAATAATGAAATTTCAGCAAAGAAATAGACTACTATGTCGTAATGGTAATTGCTTGCTTCCTGTTTTATTCATTATTCCGCTACACTACATTACTAAGGTGATTTAAAACTCTTGGGCATAACTTTAAGGGGAGATATAGCGTACCTACACAAGCACTTTTCTTCATGTACACAATGTCTGAAATTGTACACGAGGCGAATGCCCAATCTGAAAACAGCTGACAGGTAAGGTTTTTTTTTTTTTTTTTTTTTTTTTTTTTTTTTTTTTTTTTTTTACGTTTTGCTTGTTACCTTTATTTATTAAATATCATGTTCTTTGCACTTAAAACCATAAAATTCAGTTCAATAGCAATGTCGCAAAGAGTGTTGCCATTGCTCGTTTTTAAATCATTCGTTTAACAAAATATGAAATCGATAATAAAACAAATTCCAAATTTCATAATTGGGCTTTCATATGCCCATATTCACAGTAGGATTATGTCATTCAAAATCGGAGGGCTCTAGGTACCGTTGTTTTATCACAGTGCGTCACCCCGAAGATATTTTAACTAATAAAGTAACTTAGCAAATAAATAAAAAATAAACAAATTATATAGTATATTGCTCAAAATTTTTTTTTAATTTAAAATTATCAGTATATTCATATTAAATATTATGCTGTTACTTAATATAAATATTAAATACTATTAATCACAACTATTATTATGTTATTACGCTTAATTATATTTATATAAATACGAGAACATTAATTTACCTTTGATAGCCCTTAGCCGATATTCATGCATTATATAATAAAAACAATATACAACGGTTACCAGGTAGATAACGTTACTTTTAACTTAGCCGTCGGTATCGCTATGTGTTTGCATGTTTCTCTGGCATTTAAATCACTACGATAATGGTCGCATTTGCCCATTTCACGAGAAGCACTGAGCAGTCTGTTGACTACCATTACCACAGAGGTAAACGAAAGAAAAGAATTCGGAGTAGTTCCGATTCGAGCTCACTAAAAATATTGCAGAGCAGAAAATTGCGTTATATATTAGTTATGATATTCCGCAGGCGGATTAACAGGCTGACAAACTTGGCGGCCGCCTAGGTCCCCATGAGCAGACGGTCATCTGGATGTTTACTACAATTAGCTGAATAAAATAGTGTAATCATCAGTCCAGGGATGGGCAAACTACGGCCTGCGGGCCAACTACGGCCCACGGGCCGAAAGGTTCTATCCGGCCACGGATAGAATTTTATTTTGCCGGTCCGAAGCAAATTAAAAGAAATATATTATATATCCATCTCCTTTTCTAAATATTATTTTTTTTTTCCCTTCCTTTTTTTCAAAGGACTGATGATCTTTTCACTTTCTCTATTTTTGTTCTACAAAACACAAATTGACGAGAATAGCAAGCACAGACAGCTTTCAATTGGTTTCAAATGTTAAAAGGGGAAGTTCGTTGTTAATTGTAGCTGTAGATTGGCGTCAACAAGCGTTATCTCTTTCTCGGAGAGCGGACATATGGGAATCCCATATAAGTGAATTAGACCTCTTAGAAAAAACTTAATCTTAACTTAAAACGTAATAAAAAAACGTAATCTGTTTGCTGGGCAGCTAGCTAAGAACCGACTTGTCTCATTTCTCGAGGTTAAATTCAATACTCTCAGTAAATGAAGAGAAGCATAAGAATTGTGAAATTGGCTTTAAAAAATTGCATTTTGAGTTCGAAGGCAGATTTCTGTGCCTTTCAAACAGAATTGGATATTTTTACCATACTTTTCATTCAACGTAAACTGTGAAGCAGCGAAGTCAGATCTGCAGCTTGAATTAATTGAGTTGCAATCTAACAATCATACCAAGCAGTTGTTTCTAAATATTCCAAAGTTAGAGCTTTATAAAAAATTATCGAAAGTAAGTTTCCCAAATTTAATATCTCACGCCCAGAAAATCAGTGCTATGTTTGCTTCATCTTATATATGTGAACAAGTTTTTTCAACTATGAACCTTAGAAAGAATTATTTCAGAAGTAGATTGACAGATGAGCATTTATCCTCGTTCCTTAGAATCAGTACACCTCACTTCGAACCTCAATATAAGGAACTTTTAAAAATGAAATAGCAATTTCATTCATCTAATTAACATATTTATATTGTAATACTTGTATATTATTTTTAAAACTTTAGAAAAACTTACCATGGCCCGCCAAACTTTTTTTTTTTTTTTCCGATTTTTGGCCCGCGACCGAAAAAGTTTACCCATCCCTGTATTAGTCCATTTTACTTAAAAGTAACAAATCGTAAAAGATGTGATACTTTTTATTTTTTCCTATTCTTAGAAATTATGTATTGAAACATCCCAAAAACGATTACAACTGTAGACATTTGCAGGTTACCTGTAGTCCAAGCAATTTGCGCCTACATAAAATGATTACCACTGATGTACTTATTTGTTCGTTTTCCAAGAAGTGCTGGTTAGTTTCAAACAATTTCTGGAAGTGTAGACTGTGAAAAGTTTCGGAGCCTTTTGTTTGACCTCGTACTTACTTATGCCTGCCCTGTTTGGGGATATGCCTGTCCTACGGCTTTTAAAAAGATTCAAGTGTTACAAAATGTTGTTCTCCGTGAAGTGGCTAAATGCCGCTGGTTCATAAGAAACACGGCCATACACCGTGAGTTCAAAGTCTCTGAAATTCAAGTGTATTTTGCCAAACTAGCAAAAAAATTTTATGATACCATTAGCAATGTGCATAATCCCACTATCCCTATTCTTTACCATGACCCTGTCAGCAATGTGAATAAGAAACGTCCTCGTGCGGTGCTCAGGCACCTCCCTTAAATTTTGTAAATAGTGTATATATTTACTTAAAAAAATAAAAAAAAACCCTTAAATTATGCCAAAGAAATTTTTTTAAATAAATTTATTACTCTTATTTTTTGTATTGTGCATTATTCTGTGTACCTATATTTAGCAGTACTTTTGTGCCTAGTATATATTATCTGTTGTACTCATGTGTCTATGTTTATAATACATGTTAATTGTGAGGCACTGATTTTGGTGATAAAAGGCATTTCTTTTGCGCACTTACCTTGCACATCTCTTCACTTCCAAGCGTCTCGACCGGCTTAGCTATTGGATTCATTCGGCTACAAAGACTGTTTCAGATTTTGTTTCACATCTTTACTGAACTCTTATGGGATTTTTATTGTCGCTCATTTCCAAGTACTTTTGTGGACCGTGTATAAAAAAAAATTTCGAACTTTCATGTGTTAGAAAATCGGCTACAATGTTATTCATGGGGTAGCGCTCTGCGCGGGAACCTGCATTGCAAGACGACGCCTTGCCTGAGCCGAAGATCTTTACTGACAACTGTGGTCGAGCTTAAGCTTCAAACAACTTCCTCATTTTCTAAATAAAAGTTTGCCGGCGCTATGCACAAAGTCGTCAATGACTGTTGTAAATCAAACATCTACCACACGGCTTTAATATTTTACACAATGTTTGCACTCTTCAGTATTCAGATTGACTCCTCAGTGTATTTTCAGTTTGCTTTTTTAATGTATATACGAGAAAAAATTATTCCTATGCCTCGTTTGTTAAATTGGTGAGTACAGAAGCATTTATAATAATGTTTGAATAATATAATGTCACTTATAATGTAATAATATAATGTCGTTTATGTTGTTTTATAATAATGTTCGCGGTTTAGATGGAATTTCAGTTTTAATACAATTTAAAAAATTACCATATTATTAAGCTTAATTAGAATTTTAAAATTACAATATTTTGAATGAAAATAAATGTTTTTAAATTAAACTTTTCTTTTAATTTAGCCTCCTTTAATAATACAAAATATTCTTTCTGGTACTTATATTTTAATTTTGTATAAAATCCAGTCTCAAATAAAACAATGAAACATTGCTTAATTATGCCCATACTGTTTTTCAATTATCCTTCATATTAGCAGCGTATTCCCTACCAAAGTGACACATATAAAAACAATATTGGTATCTTAAAATATTTTCCAATAAGTTTATTAACGTTTATACCGCTAGTATAGTTAATAAGTGATGCTTCGGAAGGAATATACTTTGTAGCTTTGCTACAAATTTCTCTTCCAAGCATATACTTTCATAAAAAATAAAACATAATGATTAACGATAAAATTTTATAATAACTGACCTTTACTTATATGAGTGTTTTTCAATTAAATTCATTTACGGAAACTTTATAATTTAAATAACATGCTTTATATTAAGTATTTTTAAATATAGCTTTTCAAGAGAGAAAGAACTTTTCATTTAAAAGAAATTAATTCATTGTAGCGAAAAATTCTTGTGAATTTCTTGTGTATATTTGGGTCAAAATGCATTTAAATTAAAAGGAAAAGAGAAAATTGTGCATTATTCTTTTTCATCGCACATGTATAAATACAATCAATTTGTATATGAACCTAAATGATATAATGTTAATCTTATTAAATTATAATGATGCTATTAGATCCTTTATCACTTGTGTTAAAAAATACAAAAAACACTAACGTACTTATTAATAAGCGCAATATGGATTCCCTCCTGCATCTTGTAATGTCTGATAAGACCCTAATCAATCATTTCTGAGGGTCGTTTCGAAACACTTTTGGGAAAGAAGTAAATGAGTAAAAGTGCTTTTATCTTTACTGAGTTGTTAAAAAACTAATTGGCAATCATTAGTTTATGTATTTTTATATTTTTAATTAGATTTTAATAATAATAAGAGCTTAACTTTGTTAAATTGCAAGAAAGAATGAATTTTTTTAAGAGAAAAAAATATTTGCATCATTTTTTCCTGTTAATATGTATTTAAACGAATTCAATCCCTGAGAAATCATACTTAGTAAGACATATGTAATATTTTTTTTTCATACAAAATTATATTTTTACTTTTATTTATTTACTTTTTTTTATGATTAACACAGCTAACATTAACATTCTAATTATAAACTAACATTTCTAATTAGTCAAATCACTCAATAATTAGAGTTAATGTTTCCAATTATTAAAGATTAATTTGGATATCTGGATGGATTCGCACATTTCACAGTGCAAGAAAATGAGCTTATGGCAAATATTTTCCACTCTAGACTTATAAAATATAATCAAATATATATTACCTTTACAGATATAGCCATTTCAAAAAACTATTTTTACGTCCTGTAAATTTATTTATATGTTGAAATGTATTGCTATAAATATGGGACATACTGCAAGTATGCTTTTACTTTTCCTCCTGTTATCACGTCAAACTTGAGTCGCTTTCAAAACGGTACAGCCACTTCTTGCGTGCGCTGCCTTTCTAAATGGTTCTTGACAGCCAGTGAAAGAGGGGGAAAAAAACATTTCTAAGGTCAGTTTCAGATCCAAAAAAGTTTATCTTTGGAGAGGGAGAAAAAGAGCAAAAAAGAAAGCAAATATTTCAGTTTTATAGGGCGGTGAAATGGTTAAATTCAGCTATTAGCTTTAGTTGAGCAACCTTCATAAAAGTATCCGCAATGAACCACGATATTGTTTTATGATGTATGGTTCTAACTAACATTCTGATTATTTTATGAAATAGAGGGTGAAATCAATGCCGTCTTAGTCTTATGTTTTTAATTTTTCACATGGAATATTTAATTTTTATGTATTTTAGTCTTAAATATACTAATATTTAGAACTTAAATATTATTCATAATTTCATTAAAATATTAATAATATTAAGTAATAATGTGTATTTAATTATTTATTATACTTCAGCGCTAATTGCGAACCGATATTTCAAAAATATAGGTAAGTAAATACTTTTCAGTGGGCTTCATAAAATTTACCGCTAGGTGCCTCCAGCTGGTTTAACCCACCATTGTCCGCATCATCAAATTCTTCAGTAAAATAAGCAAGCAATAATTAAGGTATAAATTTCCAATCAACATCAGTGCTGCTAAAGCAACGACTTGCAACAAAAAAATCAAATAACACACCTAAAATAATATAAGAAAATTACTGAAGCGAAAGAGCAGGATAAATAAGATGTTTTTATGTGATGAGAAATAAAATAAAGCTTCTAATGTAAATTATTGCAGCGGAGAAAGGTACTGGTCCAAAGATCTAACTCGAATCTTTTTTGCTATCCGTGCACTGCAGATAAACACCACCATTCGATGGCTGAATTAGGTCATCGTACAACAGCTGTTTTCTTTCATCTCGCATAAAAGTACCAGCAGCGACTTCTTAAAACTCAGTATCAGTGTAAAGGCATAAGCCAATTGCTTGATCATTTTACCATATCTTCACTGAGCTCTGCAGATCAGTTCAACATCTTAAATGTCAGACAGCGCAGTTTTTAAAAACATACATGTTTCACACACCCTCAGTCATTTTTAATTTGGTGAACCAAATAATTTGCTAAAAATTACGTACGTACAACATCCATCAACTCAAGCACTAGTGCTTAATATCTTTAATTAATAATTTTTAATTATTAAAAATATATTTAAAAGTTTTTAAGTGATATGATTTTATTATAGGTCATAAAAAATCAAAAAAGATTTTTTTAAGCTGTTTTAATGTTCTTAGTCATATATAGCTAAAAATTAAATTGCGCGCCTGTTGGAAAAAAAAAAAAAAAAAAAGATTTTAAGTCAAAAATTTTGAAATAAAAATTTGCACGAACTCAGTGCAGTCGTTCTTATATTGTTATTTCTATTATTCTTTGAAATTTTGTTCAAATACGTCATCCTATGACTTTATTTTTAGTCACATAACCAAAAATATTATTTAGTTGAAAGAATTTTTTTTTAGCCCAAAGGGCATTAGCCCAGAGGGGCTATTAATTTCGTTTTGGCATTTAGCGTTGAAAACTTTAAATGTCCGTTTCACTTTGTTGTTGCCACCAAATATTATCGCCCTGTGTTATATTTAAAGAAATTAAATATTGAAGAATCTCCATAAATGTGTGTATGTTTCTCACATTGTGATAAAACAACGGTACCTATAGTCACCCACTTTTGAATAACATACGTTTTCACCCGAATATGAGCATCTGGAAGCCCAATTTGTAATTTATAATTTGTTTTATTATAAATTCCATATTTTGTGAAACTTTAACGAATTTTTTATTAACAAACTCAACGATTTCAAAGCGAGCAATGGCAACACTGTACGAAAAAATAATTTCTTTTTTTTTACCTCCAGCGCGCTAGACTGTGTATCGGAAATTCTAAAAATATGCTCATTTTAAAATTATTTTCCGATATTGCTATTGAATTGAATGTTAGGGTTTAAGTACGAAGAACATGATATTTAATAAATAAAGTTAACACACGAAACGTTAAAAAACGCCCCATTAGAAATAATGTAGAAAGTTGTCTTTTTTTTTTTTTTTTTTTTTTTTTCTTTTAGTATGGCAATGAAAATAAAGTAAAGCTGGACTCCAAACCATTAAAATCTCTTCTTAAAATTCTTATAATAATTAATGTCATAACAACAATAATTAATTTACGGGAAATGTATACGCAGCCCGTAAAAAATTGCTTCGTGGGCCGGTGCGATGGCCACCAAAGTTAAATCGTTTCGAAGCACACAGCGTTTATGCTTAAGAGGAAGAATACGTTTGGAAATTTTTTGAGTGACACTGACTTTTATTTACCTTGTACGTGAGAAAAATAGTGAAAAATACCTAATTAGTTATCCATTTAGCCAGGATCCATGAGCCTGGCTCCAAGTGTCCTCGTTTAGCAGTCATATCCATTCATCTGCTGAAGGGCACTGTAATGGAGTTGCAAAATACTGCAATAGGAGATATATTCACTATCGCAATGTGCAAAGCGGAAAATAAACTCAGTCTAAAAATATCTTTAGAGCACTGAATTTCGGTTCATTTTCTGGTTGGTATAGTGGCTGTAATAAAGTCATTAGTTTCCTTTTTACTGCTGGGACTCGAGAATAACTGACAAAACCGCAATGGAACTTGATGACGGTTTAGCGTGCATAATATTCTTGAAAAGGTTGCCAATCTTTCATTGTACATGCTTTCACTGTACATTGTACATCAAATCAGTGGCCTAGTCTACGCATGTTCGTGCATTCGTAGTATCTCACTACATAGTCTTAGCACGAACGCAGAATTAAGATATACGGTTTAAATTTTAAGTTTACTGATTTCAAACTGTGGTAGAGTCAAAAAATCCTAAATCAAACCGGCGTGATACGGAACTATTTGTAAGCATAAAATGAAATAATATATCTGCTTAACACCAATGTTGTATATTTGCTTTGAAAGGAATGCAGTTGTTACTGAGTCAATAAAACATGTTATAAGGTATTTCTCCCACCTTCCTAGCGTGCTTTCGTGGTGTAGTGGTACTGCACGCTGCACTGATATTTCAGAGGCCCGTGCTTCGATTCCCGGCGAAGGCGTTGTTAGTTTTTCATCTTTCCTGCCTTTTCCAATTAACTTGATGTCTCTACAATGTAAATGCTTAGTAATCTCGGTTTTGGCTTCCGGTGACGCAATGAACTGCTCTGCTAGATGTTTTTTTTTTTTTTTTTTTTTTTTTTTTTTTTTAATTTTTCCTCCTCTCCCCACCTCAACAGTACAGCTATATATGTTGCGGTAAAACGATTCAAGATATTTTGCTTAGATTAAATCTCATGAATTATCCTTAAACAAATTTGTTTTCAAAATACTTGGCTCCAAATGGAATGAAATTACCAATATTGTAGCTTTTTTATGGTAAAAAATTGAGGGAGGGTTGCTAGAGGGAAGGATCACTTGAGTCACTGTCATCCCCTTCATGTATTTGATGACGGGAGGTCGCTGATATCCCAGTTGATCCCTAACAACAATAGGGAAAAAAAGGGGAGCTTGGAAATAATCTTCCCTTCCCTAAAGGGATACTGAGAGATTAAGCACCTAAGGATGACAAAAATATCCCTATTGTATACATCTAACGGGTTAATTGGACTAAGATGGGAAGCTCAAATGAAAAAGGGAAAAGAATATTGCTTATATATGACGTCCCTTTCATAGAATAGCCAGACTTCGAGTTAGCGTGGGTTGCACTGTACTCTATCGCAATTAAGTGAATTTCAAAATGAAACGAATCTATTTTTTAAAAAATGTTTTTGTTCTTTTATTTTTTAGTTTTACACAATACATGCGGCATTCTCTAAACATCGAAGATTAATTACTTTTAGTTTTTGATTGAAAATGAAAGATGTGAGATTTTTTTTTTTTTTTTTTTCCATCTGTTTAGTTGAATATTTGAAGGTAACTGTGCAGTGAGGTCTTATTCAGCTGAGTTCAGGGCGGCCCGGCTCTCAGGTGCTAAGTGAAAACGTAAGTTAAGCCGAAATTCAAAATAAGTAAAGCTCTAATATTTTAATTTATTATTTATTGTGTGTTCTTAACTTGAATTAATTTATTATTATTTTTATTTCGGACTTAATTTAATTTTAATTCTCAAAAATTTATTATTTCATTTATTTATTCATATTTATTTACCCTTTTGAAGTCTTCAATAAAACTCTAGGACTTCTAAATTCAGAAGTTAAGTTCTGCAAACGATTATTAATTAACTTTAATTAAATGTTGGGAAAATGAGATATTGAGAAAGTTATTATTCCATATGTTAAGATCAGGAATTTTATGGAAATATTGAAATAAACTGAAAAAAAAAAAAAAAAAAAAATCGAGAAGGGCACAGTTTTAAAGATAGAAAAGAACAAAATAAGTTTTTTTAGCCCAGAGAACGTTTTATTAATTTCGTTTTGGCATTTTGCGTTGGTTCACTTTCAAACTGTTGCCACCAAATATTACAGTCATGTATTATATTTAAAGAAATTAAATAATTAAGAATCTGCATAAATGTATGTATGCTTCTGTGTGATTATTGTGATAAAACAACGGTACCTAGAGCCATCAGATTTTGAATAGCGTAATTCTTCACCAAATATTGGTATCTGAAAGCCCTAATTTGGAATTTGTTTCATTATCTATTTCATATTTTGTCAGACATTAAAGAATTTTTGATTAACAAACTCAACGATTTCAAAGCGAGCAATGGCAACACTGAACGGAGGAGGGGGGGGGAGTTATCTCCAGCGCGCGAGACTGTGTATGGGAAATTCTAAATACATGCTCATTTTAAAATTATTTTGCGGTATTGCTGTTGAATTGAATTTTATGGTTTAAGTGCGAAGAACATGATGTCTAATAAATAAAAGTAACACACAGAACGTTAAAAAAAGCCTCTTTGGGCGTAATGTAAAATCTTCAGATTTTTTTTATTGCATAGAATAATTTTTTTAACTTAATAAATTAGTCATGGTATATATGTACAGGTCATCTTATCACTATCATCTGGCGCTTTTTATGCATATTACTAACAAAAATTTTGTGAAAGTCATCAGAATGAAAAGATGCTGCACGAAGAGGGAATCTGAGGCCGACAAAATAATCGCTATTATCTAACCCGATGAAGATTAAAACAAACGTATGGTTTTTAAAAATGTCCAAGATCAACGAGCGCAATAAAAAGTCCATAGAAAATCAATCAGGAGTCATAGAACACCAACTGTAGAGCAGAAACAAGAGATGCATTCTTCTGTTTTAAAAAACTAACTTTAATTTAAAATAAGTTAATCACAGTTCTTTTGAAATCTATATTTACCCAAATTTATTAACTTTTTTTAACAGTTTTTCATTCCAAATCCCTTCTTTCTAAGATGATTTACCTTACAATATTTTTTACGTTATGTGCTTTCTGTTTTGTTCACTGGATGCCGCTGGTGAAGTTCCTAATAGGCAGTTTTCGTAGAAATGGGACAGTTCGGAAGAATGGAAAACTGTATTTTAATTTTATAATTTAAGATTTCTTTTTTATTCTATTTTATTTATTTATTTTGACACGATTCTTTTTAACACTTTAACATGCCTTTCAGACAATTTCCTCTTACCTCGATGTTGTTACCTCCCAATGAATGAAATTCTTCATTTTTTTAGGTATAAAGATTGGATACTACAATTCCCGACAGGTCAAAAACTCCCATTGTTTGAAAACACAGACGCCTAGCTGGTATAGTGGTTAGTACGCTGAATGACGTACTGATGTGCCCGGGTTCGAATCCCAGAAAAAACATCGATGTTTTTAAGCATATAGTAGCTATGCGGCAAGGAGCGCTCAAAATACAGGCCGTGCCGAAAGTCCGTTCAAGAGGTGCTGAGAGTCCTTTCAAGAGTTGCCATTTGAAATTCTATAATCATTAACTTACCTTTCAAATTACAACTGTAATTGTATAATAAAATGAAAGAGCGATAAGTACACTTCTCAGTAATTTATATTCTCCTTGTTACATTTTTAATATTACGTTAAACAGTTATAATGCAATATTTAATTTATGATACATAAAATTCATAAATTTTATGAGCATTTGTACTATTACTATATTAAAGGCATTTCTAAAATGATATCTTAGGTAACTCGGTGCCACACTTCTACCAGATAAGGAAGGCATCTGTATTTTTGGCCAGAGTTGCGAATGTTCTTTTTATTTATTTATTGTATACCTTCCAAATTAAAGCAGAACATTATTTATTGAAGAAGTGGACAGCTAAATATAATATGCTTGTAGAACTGCTTCAAGAATAAAATACATATTTATAACTACGAGTATCATTTACATCATTATATAGGGAAGTTGTCTGATAATTTTCATAAACATTTTGTAGATTTATAGTATTGTAATACCCCGAATACCCGACCAAGGACCGAAAAAACACTTGTAACTAATAAAAATTCTCATTTCAATTACACATCAATATAAAACAGTAGTAAAATTAATGTACTGTAATAAAACGGTGTTATTTTGATGGCGATGGCTTCATAAAAGTTAACAAATCTCTGTCGACTCAATTCGTAATTAAAAACGAAGGGAAAAGAAGTAAAAAAGAACGTCAAACTCCGTTTTTCGTTTTACCTGTACCCAATATAAAAGAGTAAAAGCGATTTCTACACACAAACGTAGAAGAATTGCATTGTCTGTGAACACAAACGTAAGTGTATTATAACGTGAGTGCAATTTTTGAAGAGAGGTATGAAGTTTTAGAGCGATTTAGCATAAATTACTATGCTTTGATACATATTTTTGCTTTAAAATTAGTTATAATATATAGGCAAAGAAATATTTTATTTATCAGGATTTTCCGATTTACTGACAATTTCAAATGGAAATAATTACAGGCATAAAATGTGTAAAATAACATGAAGAACCACATAAATTTTAGTTCATGAAGTCTGGGTATTACTGTATTTAATACAAGCCTCTTCTGATGTATGTATTGTTTACTCTTGTAATCGCTTTCTTATGAGTTAGCGTATGTAATTTTATTCTTGTACCAAACAAGTTACTACACCTCACTAATTTATGTTCTGCCAACTATTTTCTCGAACAACACGCTTTTTTATCGGTAGATATTTTTCGGTAACTGGCAACAATAAGCATTTCCGAATGTTTGCTCTGAAGAATGAGGTAGGGGCAGGGGGCGCAGATGTAGCGGGCGTTTACGGATCAAAGATATCTGCGAGAAAGAAGTCGAAATCGCTTTCCGATCGATGAGGTTCGAAGGTTGAGGACTCCGGAAAGGGGGTGGACCGAGTGGGGAAGCAAACGACGAAAATGAGGATACTCATCTCGTAATATAAATAAATGCTCAAAGAGCCATCACGCGCTTTTTCATCTAGCGTCAAATATTTTAACAATTTATTAGCGGATGTGACGACTTTTTCGCCTCGCATGTCGCGTGATTTGCGACACGTGCTACTTTCCAAAGCGGTGAAAAATGGTTGAGAGAGGTTTAGTTTCAAGCGCATTATATAAATGGCTTCGCCTTTTTATCTCATCAATTATCTGCTCTTCATGCCACATCATTAGCAAACTTGAACAAGAGTTATTCCTGTTTGTATCTGCTGTGTATATTTTTACGCGTTGTTTATCAATGTAACAGTAAAACATTTCAAACGCAACTTTATTGCTCTACTTAACAACATTTTTGGAACGAATGTTATTTTATATCATTGGTATAATGAATAAGACATGTTTCTAATATCATCTAAATGTTTCATTGGAATGTTTCTAATCTCTAGTTCTTTTGATCCGTATCGTCTGCATCAAAAATAAAATCCGACGATGATAACCGACATTTGTAATAACACAAAAATAGCAAGAATTTTTTTTAAATTATTTTATTTTATTCAAAAGGTAATTTACTGTTTCAAAAGTTAACGTAATTTTTTTTTTCTATTTTTCAGTAGTCTTTTATGCTTAAAAACAAAATGCAGTAACAAATAACGAAGCTTTGAAAAGTGAAATTATTCTTTCTTTGAAATGAGTTGAATTTTAATTTGATTTAAAAGTAAAGATTTATTCTTAAAGTTGGCAACAGAAGTGTAAAGTTCGTTTATTTATTGGTAAAATCTATTCTTGAATTATAGATTGTTAAATGGAATTTTCAAACAGAAAGTTTGTTATTAGTAGTACTTGTATCTTAGAAGTAAGTATTCAGTTGTTTATACTTTTACGTAAAATGAAAGTTTTTATTGAAATTACAGGATTTTGAGTGAATTCATGAGGAGAGCCTTTATCTATCGAAATTTAAGGGAGGACATATAGTACCTCCATCTCTTTGAATGTTATTTACGTGGTCTAAAAATTTGAAAATGTTTAGTCTTCTGGATTATTCAAACAAATCGTTGCTTGGAAAATATTCACTCGCAGAGAATAATTATGGTTCAATTTAATATTTTCAATAACGTGGCATTTATAAATTAATATCCTTATTGATATTGTTATGAATTTTCCTCGAAATCATAAATGAAGTTGCGACTGAGTAAATTAACTTTTTTATCACATTTTCGAATAACGTGTGCAATCATATGAATGCAGTTCACTTTGATAGATATGAAGAAAGATGGAGGAATGAATTTTAAATCTATAATAGACAACACTCCAAAGCAAATAAATTTTGAAAACAAAAACTATAAACTTTTTTCACGCATTGCTTACGGAGTGATCTAAACTTGAATTCCCTGTGCTCCCTATTGCCAGCGGAGTCTTCTAATTTAGATGAAAAATGAATGTAGAGAGCATCGAATTAAGGGGTGGCTGTATGGACGGCCCATAGGAGTGCCAAGTTTAAGAGGGAGCTAAATGGGTCAACAAATTAAGTAACCTATTAACCTGGCGCTAATATTAAATTAAAATGAGCTAGATACGTATTATTTTCAGGCGTATTAAAGGATATTCGGCCGGTTTTGCATTCAAAACGTGTATTAGGAGTTGAGAATGAAACGATATAATATATAAAAGCAATTTCATAAACTTTATAATGCATTAAAATAATATTTTTGTCTCTATTGTGTCTTCCGATGATTTTTAACGTTTAGTTGGAATTTCCAACTGAAATTTATGAGAAATATTATTTTTTAGCGTATTTTTTATAGACCATATTTAAGAGGTTTTCAAAGTTAAATAAATATAACTCAAAAACGAGTAACCTCCGAACGTTGCAATTTTCTATATAGGACTGCTATAACATGTAGTTGTGTACCTCTCTTTTTGGGTGCAATTGGCTACACCAAAAGTATATAAATATATATATATAGTATATGTAGGATGGCATCATCCATTATAATAGGATGACGCAACAAGCTGTGAAAATAAATCTTTTACTTTTCCGATGATAGAATTAAGACGATTCCGCCATTAAGACGATGATGCGATTGAAAGACGTTTGTATGTAAAAGACGGTTAATTTTCTTCATCTATAAATAATCTCATCTATTTCTTTCTACACATGTAATCATTTTGTAGTTTGTAGCAACTATTCATGTTTCATTAAATATTTGAGTTATAAGTCGGATTAGTCATTTCAAGCCCCTAGAGAGCCACATCGGAATTAAGTTTACAGATATCATATTCCTAGACAGTAAGTACCGATCCTACATATATTTATATATATATATACCCACTCTTATACTCAGTTCCGTGAGCTCAGTTTTTCTTATTCTTATAAGTTGGTAAATTGTGCATTTTTTGTTTTAAAAGTGATTGAATTATGTTGTTCTTATCTTCCGGTTAAAGTTTTTATGCCTTTAGTTAATCTGCATGCAATAGTTGTAGAATTATCAACAATTTAAAAGTTATTTAAGTGCAGATAAGCCTAACTTGTTTTACCATAGCAATCACATTTGTTTGCATTTGAAGGTAAGCAAGAATTATGAATTAAGTCAGCTTCTGCACCTCCAGTGTCTTTTTGCCGAGTGGGAGCAAAATGAAACTTTTAGTTTTGTGCACCGAAAAAGCTGCCTTCTGACAGAATTGCTTGTTTTTGCATAGAAACTCTAATTTTAATTGTAAAAATTGTTTTTAATGGTTTTAACTGTATTTGGTGTTTTATATTTTCCTATATTTTTCAATTTTTAATAAAGTTATTTTGAAATTTTATGTATTTTTACCTTGCCGCGAAATGAGAACTGAATTAATTGAATGAGAAATATATCTTTAATGAAATTCGAGGAAATGAATTTAAATGAAATGCAGGAAAAAATGCGTATAATTTACAATTCCGGACAAGGAAGTCATGTGATGTACACATCAGATTTTTTAATTTTTATTTTTACATTATTCTTTTAATACGAACTAAAATTCATGAAAATCCCCTTCAGTTCTTTTATAGTCGTTCCTCAAAAATGATTTTTTTATCTATTAAGTGGGAAAACATTTATAGAATGAAAGGACGCGCAACTTTATAAATCTATTATGCATAGATAATCTATTATGCATTTTATTTTTTGCAAGAGAAATGGTAAAAATATCAAATTCTAGATTGTATTTTACCTGCTAACTGTTTAGCTATGATTCTCGATATTAAAGTTAGATCATTAAATGTGCTTTTCGCTATGCTTGATTTTATTTATTGAACAATTTTAATTACTAATTTTGTGGTCGAAAGAGGGTATGCTCTCCTCTTTTATATTCTTTCTTACAAGCAAGGCTTACAGTATGTTTTAATTATCCTGACGTTCCTGTGATGATCCAAGAACAGATGACTACTTTTGTCAAGCAAATATTGTAAAGATAAACTTTACTTTAGTGTTAGAAATTTAAACGAAATAAGTATTCCTTAAATATTGTGCTGCAGATTATGCATGTTTCATAACTGGATGATAGTAATGATTGCTTTCATTAAAAGCGTCTAATGCAATGCTGTTTTAAAATATAATGTGGTCAGATTAAAAGACAGAACTTTAAAAACTGCAACTTAAAAATTACTAAAAAAATTAGATAAATCAGTTTTAATTAGTTAAGAAATAAAGGAATTTTAATTTCCAGTCCCCCCCCCTCAAATGTTGTACCAAAACCAGTAATTACACTTTTCAATATACTGAAATTTGCACTTTCAATCACATGCTGATCGGTTACTTTAGATTCTTCAAACGAACTGCGGGGAGGGGGGGGATT